TCTACGCGTAATTTGAGTCTTATTCAATTTACTTACTTTTTACCCCATTCGGGTTGAGGTTAGAAATATTAACTACACACATGACCAAACGTTTTCATCCATGCATTAACTAATACCAACATGGTCCATAAAGCATGCAAAAGGTAGTAATGTATTACCTCGATTTTCAAGCCACATCGGTCAACCATTTAAATTTTCATTCAATCATTCTCGAACCTGAATTTGACATCCAACAATATCTCGGGTACATAACAAAATGTATTACATCAAAAACGTAACCTAATTGTGAAAAACGGATCGAACCAAAAGGTAAAAAACTGAAAAATAGTTTACTGGGTTCAAATTTGACGAAAATTACCTCAAAAACGGGTTCAATACGTCGAAAAACCCAAAATATGTCATTTTGAGACATGAGCTCCATTAGTGTAGAAGGTCACAGGTTCAATCCCACTAAACAATTTTTTTTTTATTTTCACTAAATGGGAGGGACAATCTCAAGCTTGGGTCCTTGAACTTTCAAGAATTTCGAAAATTTCCATAAAATTTTGAGAATCATACAATTTGGTCCCTTAAAAAAATTTGTCCCAACTTTAGGGTGTGACGGAGACAAGTTTTGGTGAAGGGGTTGATTGTCATTATGTCGAGACAAACATCTCAGGTTCATACGTTTTCTTTGAACATTGTAGAAAGTTGATTGATTGTGAGGCTATTTTGATCTTAGTAAGGAGTTGGAATTGTTCAGTGTTAGTCCAAAAGTGAATTATAGTAGCAAAGAATAATGATTAAACTAAATCAATCATATTTTCATTGACAAAAATACAGAAAGCTTAGGCAACGGGAGACATCAACACCTGATGAAAATGAAGATGTACTGTTCTTGATAGTTTATATATAATTTTTTTGTAGCATCACATAAAATTCCCAAACCCTTGTGCTCATTGGACCTGGCAACTTCATTTGGGAAAACAGCGATTACCTCTTGGACTTGTCAGATGATTCGAACCTTGATAAACATGAAGAACCATGAATCCTGTACATGTTGGAAAAGGTTAGTTGTGTTGCTTGGTGTTAAAAGCTATGCACAAGCGAACACCTTTATTTTCCAGCTTCATTTTCATTCCCAAATCCCTCTTGTTCCTGTATCTAAATAGTTTATCCCTTCGATCTTCAGTATAACAACAGCAGAGCGGCCAACGATAATATAGATATATATTTTTAGGATAGATACATATATTAATAACTTAAAATTTATTAATCTTAAAGTAAGTTTCAAATAATTATTCCCTCCTTATTTACATGTAGAAAAGATGTGAAAATTAACTTAAAAATAAGAATGGAGGATTTTAATGTTTGGGACTACAAATGACGTAATTAACCGAATACATCTAATAATTTTTTTCCAATTCTAGAGCTTTGAACATGTCAACTTCTTCTTGGAAGTTATATTCAGTTCCTAAAATAATATAATAACTCTATTTATTTCTCATATATTAATATAATTAAAATATACTTATTATAATAATGTTATTATGATAATAAAAAAATAAAATACCATTAAAACAAAAATGTTAATATGATTTAAACAGTGTAAAATGAGTTAAAAATTTTAAATTTATTATTTTAAATGAGTTAAAAAATTAAATTTATTATTTTATTTTTTTTATATTTTTAAAATATTTTAATAAAAATATTAAAGACGTTTTATTTTATATTTTTAAATTTTAACTTCTTTTTGTTTCATTTTCTAGTTTTACAATAAAATTGATTTCTTAGATATTTTTTATTTTCTAAATAAATAAAAATAAAACAACCTTCATTCTTAAAACTAAACGGAAACTTTTAAATTATATCGATGAGGTAGTTTCGATTTTCAAAATTAGATCAAAATACTTGATAATTTAATTAAATTGTTAATTTAGGTGCAACTTCCTCTTGGAATATTGTTGCCATATATCACAGGGGGCCATTTCCATTGCAGCTCTTAGATAGATTCTGCCTTTATTACAATAATAAATCGGAAATGAAAAGGGAAGTTTGGCAATTTGTACATTGGAACCTTCGAAGAAGCGCGTGTCAGCTCTCTCTATTTCTCAGGAGAAATGGGTGAATTTGGATTTCTTCCCTGATTTGCATTGAGGTAAATTGATTTCCGTTCAATTTCTTAAATTCATTCTCTCTCTGTGTACTTTAGTGCTTTAATGCAATTGAACATGAATCATCAGTCTTGGAAGGTCAACGATTCCCATTTTCCAATTGTGGGTCTTTTCTATGTTCTTGTTCTTTCTTGGATTCCATTTGATTTTTCCCAGAAAAAAGGAAATAAAGATTGGGTTTTCATAATCTTACCAAAGGAAATCACGATCCAAGATTGGGTATTTCGTTTTTTTGGGGAAAAGAAAAGAATTTGGAGAAGAAGAAGAATTAGGAAGTTTTTTTTCATGATACTTTAATCGTCTTCGTTACTGAATTAACCATGGGAATATTCTTTTACTTTAATGTAGACCAATTCATGACCCTTGTTTGAGGATTTATGGAAGAGAATAAAGTGAAAAGGCAAGAGAAACCAGCATCTGAAAGACAAGTTTTCTTCCTCTCGGGACCTACACATCTCACTGCTGTTGACTGGTAAACTGCTTGTAGCCATGAATAAACATTATACCATTTGGAGAAGGTTTTCTTGGATAGATTCATTATCGAATTCATGGCATTTTATGGTATATCTGAGATGTCCTTTTGTGTTACTTTTGGTAGGAATAACTTTAATCACCGAAGATCTGTTGCTGCAAGCTTGGTCCAGGGAGTGTACATTCTAGAGCATGATCGTCAGCAGAATCGCCAAGATTCCCAAGCTCTTGCACCACCTTGGTGGGATTCCTTCGATTTCCGATTGATCCGTCCTCTTGTAGATGATGTTGATAACTCCATTTTTGGTGCCATTTACGAACTCAAGCCTTTTACATCCAAGTGCAACTATTCAGCCCAAAATGCTCCGGATTATGTTATTGCATTTCGGGGTACCATCAATAAGTCAGACACTATGTCTCGTGATCTCAAGTTGGATATCCGGTGTGTCCGAAACAGGCTTCATGAAAGCTCTCGTTATCAGCTCGCAATGCAGGCTGTGCATAGTATAATCGATGTTGCAGGTACTTCACGTGTTTGGTTAGCTGGCCATTCGCTTGGATCAGCTATTTCATTGCTTGTTGGGAAGAATGTGACTAAGATGGGCTACAGTGTTGAAGCTTACCTCTTCAATCCACCATTCTCTGCCTCGATACAAATAATCAAGGAAGGAAAGCTGAAGGATGGGATTCGCATTACGACCAGCTTAGTTAAAGCTGGACTCGCAGCTGCAAAGGGTCACCATCGGAGTCTTCGACCAGATGGTCCATTTACGTTACTCTCTAAATGGGTACCATACCTGTTTGTGAACCCTGCAGATCCCATATGCTCCGGCTATATCGGTTATTTCGAACACAGGAAGAAGATGGAGGAGATTCAGGCCGGAAAAATCGAGAGGATTGCAACACTGAATTCCTTACTGAAAAGCGATTCAGAACCTCTGCATCTGATTCTGTCTGCCAATCTCACTATAAATTTAAGCAAGTCTCCGGATTTCAAACGAGCTCATGGCATTCACTAGTGGTGGGATCCAAGTTTTGATGGTCAGTCCGAGCTGCATGAGTACAAGTAGTGCATGCATGTTTTTGCCTGACGTTTTGACTTCTGAGAAAGATGGTCCTGTCAAGTAGTCTCATGACATCATAAAATCACCTATTCGTCCCTGTTTATATACCGTTTTATTTCGTTGTAAAACATAAGCATTTAGAGTATTGTAAATTGTCACGAATTCGATTATAGATAATCCCTTTCAACCTTTTATAATATATATATATATCGTGGACTGCCTCAAGTAGGTGATTTGATTTACAGCATATATTCTAAAATAGAGAGAACAATGGCTGCTGAAATTAATATATCAAAATAAAAGGTGACCTAGCAGATCAGATCAACCAGATCATATTATTTTAACGAAGACTGCCTCAAACTCGACAGACCGTGCCCAAATATTAAATAAGGATTAAGTTGTACAGAACCTGGCATGTCCCCACTAGCGACGGCAATGTAACGGGATGCCTATTCGTCGAATCTTTGGGGTTATTGTATCTTTTAGTCCCTGAATTTAGCTTTGATCTTTAATTTGGTCTCAGACTCTTTTTTTGTAATTCGGCTCTTGAAGTTTTTGGATGCAACTTGCCCTTCACTTCGGCTTTAATATGCAATTTAGACCCTAAATATTTTAATATGAATTAAATTATATAATTTTAAATTTAAAATATTAAAGTGAGTGTTGAATATTAAAAAATTGACTTTAATTCTACGATCAAACTGATTTAAAGTGAGCGTTGAATATTAAATTTTTGACAAATTTAAAATTTGTTAAGAAACCTTTTATTAAAAATATTTATAAATTATTACTATTTTAATTGAAGAGACATAGTCTTTCTAAAATAAACTAAAACAATTCCAATTCTACAAATTCATCACCCCTACTCCAGGACGCACAATTATTGATAAGAAAACCATTAAATTAAAATTGCAAAAAGAATGGCTACTAAACAGTGTTATTCCAAATGATTTATTCTTTATTTTATTGGGATTTAAGTCTTCTTATTAATTAAGATTTAATTATATTATTAAATTTTAAAATTATGAGTTCCGAAAAAATTAAGTAATTATTTTCCGATTAAAAATAATAAATGAAAGAATAAATTTTAAATATGATACGATGAGCACAAATTAAGCTATCTCAGTAATGAAAAAATATTATTATTTTTTGATATTTTAATTTCGAGCATTATAAATATTAAGAGTTTGAGTGGTCAATATTTCGAATTATTAAAACTATCGATATTATATTTTACTTACTCAGATTAATAAAAAAAATTAAAAAATAAGATACGGTGAAGAACAATATATATAACAGTATAATGAATTATTATTGATAATAAATTAGAAAAGAAAAAAGAAAATCCTAATAGAATGTATCAGATTTGAGCTCTTCTTGAAGAAACTCCTCCAACAATAACTGGGACTCTTCCATCAATTCAGGGCTTAATCTGAACATCAACACGCAAAACTCCATCTCACTGAGGGCTCCGTCGCCGTCGGTGTCGCCTTCTTCCACCATGCTGACGAGCTCGTCGTGTCTCAAATCTTGCAACCCCAGTACCGCCGCGTTACTCTTCAAGCTCTCCACCGTGATCACCCCTTTCTCCTTGTCCATCAACAGTTGGAACCCGTTACACAGCTCCCTCATCAGCCCTTCTCCGCCAAGCTTCTCCGCCATCACCGGCAACAAGTCCTGGAATTCCGGAACCGCTTTACCAATACCCGCCATTAAAAAAAATCTTACGATTTCGTAAAAGAAAGCTCTTTGTTCTGGGTTGGGTTGTTTTGAACAAAGCGAAGCGGCTGTTGATTTATTTATACAGTTTGAAGAAGAAGCAGAAGAAGAAGAAGAAGGGTTTTCTTGGAAAGTGGAATTGGGTTTTGCTATGTTTTACCATTGTGTGACAGCAGAGGAACACGACTTTTATTGGCGGTCGGCTTTGATTCTTGCAGAACACAGCCTCTGTTTCGGAGAAGTTTGGTGTCAATTGTTTTTTTGGACCTTTTTTAATGTTTCATGTGTCGGCTTTTTAGGAATACTAATCTAATAGGGGCATTATTGTAATTTTCATTTTGAAACGCTTCTTTCGGTGCGAATGATCTATCCTTTAGGAAGCTTTCTTAGGTTCTTTTGTTTGAGTTTAATAAGTTTGCTAAATAATCTCTTATCTCCGTATTAATTTTAATATGTATAAATTTACTTTTTTTTGAAGAATAATTTTGTGAACTTTAAAGAGAATAGTTAAAGATAATTAACTATGAAATAGTCTAAGATAAATATAAAATAATATATTTTGAAAATAAAAAATTTGTTATTAACAATATGCATATTCTGCGTACGTGTGTAATTAATAGGATTCATAATTTTTAAAGAAAATAATTTTTATATTTTATTATTGAAACTATTTAATGAGTTCAATTTTATAATATGATTGAACGTATATTGTCGTAATTGTTACTCATTCATAAGTTTGAATAAATTATGGGTATTTCAAGTATTTTTAAAAAAATTATTATTATATTATATTTTAAAATTATAAAGTTAGAACATTCGTAAATATTTTATTATCTTTTTGTGAAATTAAATATTAAAATACTATAATTAATGATTTGAAGTGGATAATCATCCATAAATATTTATTATCTAAATCTATATTATTTATGTTTTTTTTATTTTACATAATTTTAGAATCGTTGGATGAGGAAATCAAATGTTGAGATTATAGAGGCAAGATCTAATTACACTTACTGTAAAACTTTTAATTTTACACCTTTTTAGAATCGTTGGATGAAGAAAATTAAATGTTGAGATTTACAGTAAGAAATGAGAAGATATTCACTGGAAAAAATAAAAATTAATTTAATTCTTTAATTTTTCTTTATTTAACGTTTAAAAAAAGTGTAAAATTAAAATTTTACATCAGGTATAATTGCATCTTAACATACTCTATAAATTTAAATATAGATAAAAAAATAAATATTTAGTAAACTTCTTTTTGAGAAACTATTGAGAAATTTCATAAAGAATAAGATTTTGTTTGCTTATATATACTGAAAATTAAATCGCTTGCAAATTGCGAGTAAGAAAACTCCCACTTCCTTATCGCATCAAGAACAAGAACACGTGTGAGATTTTACTGTCCCTAATCTAGCTGGATCTGAGATCACATTATAAAAACATATCAATATAAATATGAATATGAATATAAAACCTGAGATTGTGGCGTCGTGGGTACTGCACACTCTTTATTATTCAGAGACTCAACTTTTTTTTCCTCCATAAGGAACTTTCATTTTCATTTCCTTATCAATATTTTTCTTTCTGGAGAAGGAATCCCATGCCTACCGCTCCTTTTTTCTCTCCCCAGAAAATACTAATAATTACAGATTTGGTTTATTATGGAATTTTCATAGCAAATTGCAGCGAAGAATCAAGTTTTCACACAGGTACAATCACGTAAAGTTTGTGAATGTACGTATGGTGTGAGCTTGCCTCGCTATACACAAACTTAAATAATTACACGATTTGGTTTGTTATGAATTTCAGGTACCTACATAAATTATTATCAAAATTAAAGGAACCAATGCAATTTTTCCACATTATCCACCTCGGTGTTCAGATTTGCTATCGCATATGCCTGAGTAAATTTCATTGGTTTGCATAATCATGCTTTGTAATGATTAATTATGATAATAATTATTATTTTAATACAGTATTTAGATTATTTAAAATTTTATTTTTATTCTTAAATTTAAAAATAATGAAAGATTAAGCATATCTGATCTTACTTTTAAACTTGTGTGAATTATACAGGTAGGCGTTGAATTGGGAGCAGGAAGTGAGTTGGACGTGTGCACAAGGGCGGAACTAGGATCAAATTATGCGAGGGACTAAGTTGTTTATCTTTGAAGCTAACAATGTTCTAAAAGACAATTAACCACAAAAATAGAGAATGTGACTTAATTTCACTAATTTTAAAATTGTCATGTATTAAAAATAATTAAACCAAAAAAAGTTAGAAGTTAACCTTAATTTCATTTAACTTTGAAACTAATAATATCTTAATAACTAAATCATAAAATTTTAGGAAGGTCAAGATTTAATTTATTGATTTTAAAATTTTTAAGCGCTTAAATACAATTAAACCGTAAATTGAGTTGGAACATATCCCCTTTCGCCCCACGTGGTTCCGTCAATTCGTCTACATGTGCAGTCCTTAGAGGTATATCACTCCTTAATGACTCTTATATTGAAGATTGCATGGAATTTGTTTATACATTCTATTTCGGAGGAAAGGAATTGTAGGATGTTTAGAGGAAAAGGTAGAGGTGGGATACTATTTTTAATATCATTCGTAATATAAGAATTTATTTAAAATTAATCATTTATTAAAACTTAATTATAATTTTAATAAAATTATATTTTTTATTAAAAATAATAATTAATTTAAGTAATTTAATTTGTTCAGAATTATAATTTTTAAGTTATATAAGTTAGAACCGACCATCAACATTAGTCACTACCGACGACCACCTTAACTCACCAAAATATTAATTGTTACAACATCCAGCGCTTCCGTTTGTCGTCGCCCAATTCAGTGTCGTCTGGTTATTTTGAATTAAAAAAATGGGTAAACTACAAGTTTAGTATCTAAACTATTACTTTTATTTCGTTTTAATACCTCAACTTTAATTTTTTTTCAAAATCATACCTAACATTTATTTTTGTTTCATTTTAGTACATCGTCATTAAAAAGATAATGTCACAACTGACGTGGTATTTTTTATCTGGTTAAACTACAGAGTTCATCACTCAACTATCTTCTAACTCCTATTTTGGTCACTAAAATTTAAAATATTTGAATTGTTTCTATTTTGATCATCTCTAATGTCGTGGACTATATTATTATTATTTTCAGTATGACATGATAAATTAATGAATATTTAATATCAAATAAGATTTTAAAATAAAAGTTTATAATTTTAATCCAATCTTTAATCTTTGAACCCCAATCGTATATCCAAACCCCAACCCCACAGACATCACCCTCCGACCACCACAAAAGAATCCCTTGAAAAATCGTTTACGAACCAGAAACAAATGAACACAAATAAATAAATTTAAGTGTCAAGAATACACCAACCATCATCACCTTCACAAAGACAAATTAAGAAAAATTGAAATACAAAAAACTCATATTTTTTATATAAAAACAAAAACAACAATAATAAAAGAGAAAACGCATGAAGTAGATGAGAAGGAAGTTGTCGTCCATGCTTTCTCATTTCCTCTTACAGTGTTGCAGTTCCAGAAAAAGTAAAACTAAAATAAATAAGAGATATAGAGTATGAAACAAAACAAAACAAAAAAATCTAGGTTTCTGTTTATACTTATTTTCTTTCACTTTTCCTCATTTTTCAGGCAAAATAAAGATAACCCATTTCACTAGATCGCCAACAGAAAAACAACAACATTACCGCCTTTTTACTTTCATGGGCCTAATCATAAAATCAAAATAAAAAGAATAAAAAAAGTTATATTTTGGGTTTGTAATTGAGTAGTTCAGCCCAATAATATAATTTTAGTGGATTTTAGAATTTTGATTTGAAGTTGGTATAAAAGTTTATTAAGGATAGAGTCTGGTAAAATATTCGGATAATCGGATCGAATCGGAAGCTTACAAAATTTGAAGGAAGGAAGTTCGAGGTTAGAAAAATTATATTGATATTTTAATTAGTATAATTTGATGTGAATTATTTGAATTTGGAGGAATTTCCATGTTAAAGTGGAATAGTGAAATTTGGTGACTAAATTGAATTTTTAAAAAATTGGAAGGGTGAAGATGGAAATTTATAAATGAGATTTTATATTTATTTAATGATATTAAAATGGAGATAAAAGGATGGCATGGTGGTAAAATTTGGATTCATTAAGGGTAATTTGATTTTTGGGCTCAAATGAATTTTTAATTGGTTTTTAAAGATAAATTAAGAGATATTTGTATGGAAAACTCAAGAATTCTCCTCCCATCTTCTCCATTCATTCGTTACTCTATAGCCAAGGTGAGCAAAGTTTTTCTTTTTCATTTCTGATCCATTTTAGTGTGAATTTGAACTAAAGTGTGAAATAAGAAAATATTCTACACTTAATTCTCTACAAATTGGTATAGGTATTTCATTTTTTCGTGCTTAAATGGTGAAGTGGGTATTTAGGTGGTTAAAGAGAAAGTTGAATTTCATTGAGATAAGGTTGTAATCTAACTTTAGGAGTGTTATGGAAGTATAACAAGTATGAAAATTGATTGGAAATGATTCGGAGGGACTCAACTGAAAGTTTGGGCTATGATGGGGTATTATGGAGAGATGTTAAAAATTTGTTAGATTGATATGTGAATGGTTTAGAATGACCTTAGATGCTAGGAAATTGTGTTTTGGATCAAATTAGAACTTTTTTGGGTTTTAAGGATTATTTTGCATGGTTTGAAAAGTGAAGGATTAATAGGCAAGTATTGGAAAACTAGAGTACCATAATGGAAATTATGGTTGGATTGATGAAATGTTGTATCTAGATTAACATGGAATGTTGTATTGGGTTGATTTAGAATTTGAATGAATCTTAGGGATCAAGTTGTGAGTGCAACATGTGAGTGCAACTAACTTTTTATTTAAAATAATATGATGACAGCTTGAGATGAGTCAATCTCAATCAATCTGAAAATAAAAATGTTTTTAAATCGTATTTTTGAAAAATACAATATTTTATTATTTTTTATTTTATAGCATATGAA